ACACCGACATCTTCATGGCGATGGCCTTGTGCGGGTCGTACCCCTTGACGACAAAGTCCTCGAGCTTCCAGCCATCGATGTTGCCATCGCCCACCGTCTCGGGCGGGCGGGCGATCTCGAGCTCCGGGAAGGGGCGGGGCTCGCGCTCGAGCTGGGTGCGGAGGGCGTCGACGTGGTCGACGTAGACGTGGGCGTCGCCCATGACGTGGGTCAGCGACCCGGGCACGAGGTCGCAGGCGTGGGCGAGCATGTGCGTCAGCAGCGAGTAGCTCGCGATGTTGAAGGGGACGCCCAGGCCCATGTCGCAGGACCGCTGGTACAGCTGGCAGTGGAGGTGGCCCTTTGGCCTCGCCTGCGGCTCCCCTCCTCCGTTTTGGGGCTGGGCTGCCGCTTCTGCTGTTTCTGTTGCTGTTACTGCTGCTGTTGCTGGCGCCTCCGCACCCGCTGCCGTCGCCCTTTGCTGCTGCTGCCTCGGGCCACCGCGCGGGTACGAGACGTAAAACTGGGCAAACATGTGGCAGGGCGGCAGGACCATGAGGTGCATGTCGCGCGGGTTCCATGCGCTGAGGATGATGCGGCGGTCGAAGGGGCTCTCGCGCAGCTTGCGCACCACCTCTGCGAGCTGGTCGACGCCCTGGCCGGCGTAGTCGGTCCTGGCGTCGACGTACTCGGCGCCAAAGTGGCGCCACTGGAAGCCGTAGACGGGGCCCAGGTCGCCGACGTCGCGGTGCCCCAGGCCGAGCGAGTCGAGGAACTCGCGCGACCCGTTGCCGTCCCAGATGCGCACGCCGGCCTCGCTCAGCGGCGCCGACGACGTGCTGCCCGACACGAACCACAATAGCTCCAGCACCACGGCCCGCGTGAAGACGCGCTTGGTGGTGAGGAGGGGCAGCACCGGGGCGCCGTCGCGGTTGAGGGCGAACTTGAGCGGCCGCGGCGCGAAGACGGAGTAAGTGCCCGTCCCCGTGCGGTCCGGCCGGTGCTCGCCCGTGTCGAGGATCTCGCGCACCAGGTCGAGGTACTGGTGCTCCTCGTGCCTGGCGGCACCGTTGGGGTTTGAGTTGCTGCTTTCTGTTGCCGTCATTGTGATTATAGGGCTGTAGGCTCCCCTTTCAGATTTTGTGCTTCACTTGCCGCTCTTCCTTGCAAAGATGACGAAAAACAGCTACCGTGGTGGGGGACTGGCTGGTTGGCGGGGGGGCTGGTTGGTCGACGCGTTCGAAATAAAGTGCCCCGCGCCCGAGACGCGTCTGTGACCACTTTGACCTGTATGCCATGGTGCCAGATCACGTGCGGCTTGGGGTGTGTCTGTGGGGCGTGTTGAGGAACGACAGGCAGGCTGTCAATTCCCATCAACACAGGGTCTAAAACAACACCGGTTGCACATCACTTGCGACACGGACAAAATTGACCAACCATACGATTGGCGCACCGACGTCAAGGAAACTATGGCACTCGGAGGACGGCTTGAACGGCATCAGAACCATCGACGCCTCCCAGCCAACACGCCGCGCAATCGCCCAATGGATGGGCTGACCCTTGTCAAGGATTCCCACCTGGTCGGAGCCAGGGGACCTCGGCCGAATGGCGAGGCGGGTTTCAGAAGCTGCAGGGCAACGTGCCAGAGCCGCACCTTGAAGGCAGGGCGCCCAGCGGAACCCACGCGCAGGCCAGCCGAACGGACCCATCGTTCTGGCAGGCGTCGAAGTCCCAGATTAGACTGCAACCGGAGCGAGGGGCCTAGGGGCCAGGGGTCTAGGGGCCTGCCACACAACGGCACCGCTCTGTCACTCTGTCTCCATCCCAACTGGCTTGCCCTCCCATGCTTATTTTCAACCTTAAGCGCAGCCCCCCTGCACACATCATCCACCTTTGACTTTTCCTTCCCTTCTCCCATCCGTCTCCTGTTTCCCATCCATCGGCGCCTCGCCCTCTTTCGGCTGCTTTCCCGCTTACCCCTGATCTCCTGATGCGACATCCACCAAGCCCACTTGCGAGACGCCCCTTGCTCCATCACGCCCGTCTTCCCGCCATCTCACAGAAGGCCAAGGGAAAGCACCATCTTTTTCCCGTTTCCTGTGTCCCTCCCCACCTGTCTTGTTAACGTGCTGGGTGGGCGTGCGTGCGTTGGACCACTTCATCTAGTGATGATGCCCGCAAGCTGGCCAGGCGGATTCTGCTATCCATCCATCGGGTCACGCGCTCTTGGCAGTCATCGATATTCGTTCCGCCAGTCTCGTGCCGAGGAATCGCGGAGAAGCAGATCGTACAATAGGCGTGCCCGCCACAAGGTGTCTTTCGTGATTCTGCACTCACTGTGCGTTCGTGTTTCCTTAATGGCCTCATCTGTTCCCCTCGCTGCCGAGGTGGCATGCATACCGTTCGTCCGTTCTCAGCCACTTGGGTAAAAGTTGTGAAACCGGGATGCATCATTCACATCTGTTCAAGAACAGACAACAAGGTTCCTCGTCTGCTGCAGTAGAGAAGAAGACAAATTTCCTGTCTCGTGGACCAGATCAAAGAGCAGATTCACGACCTTGCAACATCTTGCGAACCCTGCTCGCACAGATGGGATGGTGGCACTTGGCAGATGCGGGATACTGTGCAGTGCCATGTCGGACGGATTTACAGACCGCATCGCACCAGACGATGTGCAGAGGAACAGAACCACACCCCTTCCCCTAAATCCCCACCCTACCTAGAAGATGCCTAGCAAGGGCATCAAACATGAGGCGGCCTCGTCATGCCCACACCGTCCGGGGAAAGCCTTTGCTGGGGGATTTGCGCACGGCTCGGCTTGCAGGCCTGCTGTTGCTATTTCTTGCTTTGACCCAGCTAACCATCTTTCTTTTGTTTCTCTCGCTTTCTTGTCATCGCTGCCTGTCTTCGAGATCCTTCTCAGTCGAGGAGTTTTTTCTTCGTTCCCTTCCTTTCTTCCTTCTTTTCTTCGTTTCTCGTCCCACTTTGAGAGTCATTCCTTTCGAGACTGCCGGCCAGCTTAGTTTTGTGTATTATTTTTCGGCACATTTACTTCTCTTCCCTACGGCCCTTACGCTCTTTAAACCGTATACGTCTAGCCGGCCTAGTTATTTTTGGCTCGCCTGACTGACAGCACGCCTTAACACTTCCCGAACGAGTCATTGTTGCCAACCGATAGATAACAGCAGCAACGATGTATTTTTCCAAGAAAACATTGGCCAGTCTCCTTCTGAGCCTGGCTCTAAGTGAGGTCAGCGCCCAACGGACTGGCCCGCGATTCAACAACAGCACCCGGAGCGCAACCGGGCCCCGGGTCGACGGTGGCAGAGTTGAAGTCACATCCAGCGCCGGAGCGGCGACGACGTCGAGGGCCGGAGCCGGAGCTAGAGTGGTTGTCGGGGCGCCTAGGGGTGGAGCCGGTGCTAGTGCAGGATCCGGACAGCAACTCCCGCCTGTGGCCACAGGTGGCGCTGGAGCAGACGGGCTGTCGCCGCTGCCAGGCGACGACAACCTCGCGGCAAACCCGCTAGCCGGCGCTTTGGAGCCGCTGCCGACGATCGCGCCTTCCCCCACGCTGCCGACGACCCTTGTCCGCGTTACCAGGAGTGCTACGACGACAGCCCCTGTGTTGTCGGCGTCGCAGCCCCTCGCTCCCATCGCACCTTCAGCTAGCTCGGCCGCCCAAAGCCTTTCTCAAACCGGTGATATCGCCGCTCCTGATGTTGTGATTCCCTCGGCAACCTCGTCCCTGCAGAGCTTGCCTCAACTCGGGGCCGATTTCACCGCCCCTGGTCTCGCTGCTACCACATCCCAGCCAATTCCTTCTGTCGCCGCAGGTATCATCATCGTCTCATCCATACCAGGAGTCCCGTCATCTTCGCAGACGTCCGAGGGCCTTATTGCAACCACAGCTTCTGGGACCGGAGAAGTGCCCCTAGCTTCAGCCACGACGAGCTCCGATGGCATTTTGCCGATCGCTTCGGCGACTGAGGCCACCTCCACTGATACCCTGACCACCTCTGAGTCTGTCGCCACCGACGCTACAGCTACAGATGTCACGGCCACCGGTGCCACTGCTACCAACGCTACCATCACTGCGGAGGCCTCGACCACGGCCGAGACTGCCTCTACCACGGCCGAGACTTCCGCCACCGGGGCCTCGACCACTGCTGAGGCTGCCGCCACGGATGCCGCAGCTCTGCTCCCCCTCCCCGCTGCGTCGGACGCTACTGGCCTGATTCCCATCCCCGTTGCGACCGACGCGCCCTTCCCTCTTACCAACGCGACCGGGGTGGCGAGTCTGCGGCCCATCGGCACAGGTGCAGCTCCTCAACCGACCGAAAGTACAGAAGCAGCTCCCGAGACCTCGCTGTTGCCTCCTCCCGCAACTGGCCCTTTCTCAAACTCGACCAGGCCCATCAATGGCACGGCGCCAGCCGCCGGGAGGAACTCGACGAGCCCCTTGGTCCCTGGCGCAGGCTCTGATGGTCCCGCCGATGAGGGAACTCTGCAGCCACTCCCTGGCACCAATTCTCCCTCCGGATCCGGAGATGCCGAGTCTCCCTCCAGTTCTGGCGATGCCAACTCTCCCTCCAAATCTGGCTCCCCTGCTGGTCCGGCGGGTGGAAACCCCACGTCCGGCACCAACCCTTCTGGCGGCGAGGACCCGCTGGCTTCATTGCCCAATGCCACCGGTGGACAGGGCGGCGGTAGCCAGACCGGCACGCTCCGAGGCCTGCCCACCGGAACGGGTGGTCCAGCCCCGACTGGCACCGTCCAAGGCCCGCCGTCAGGAACCACCTTCGCCACGTCGTTCACGAGGCCCACGCCTTCGGTCCCTGCTTCTCTGACCACGGTGGTCACCAGCGGTGGTCAGACCATGACGCTGACGGTGCCCAACGCAGCTGCTATCACTGCCGGCGGCACCATAGTCACCGGTGCACCGAAGGCGCCCGGTGGGGACCCTAACGCTGCCTCGGGACTCGCCGCATCTGACGCGCTTGCCGGTGGCGTGGCCGCCGTGGTGGCGGTGTTTCTGATGGTTTAATGTTTTATTTTCTCCGGGGTTCCATCGGGCACAGTTCAACCCACCGGCGAATGGCCGAGAAGATCGTGCCAAGTGGAGTGTCATGGAGCACATGGTGCGTGTGTGTATATACGTATCTGTCTGTCAGGCTTGGTTGACAATCTGAGCAGACACACGCTCATGGCCAAATCGTGCACGAGGAATACCTTTGATGACGACTTTTTCTCTGTTTATTTCTTAATCGAAGGTCTAGGGGGCGGTCTGCTGACGCAGATGAGAGCTTCACGGCTTGGGGCTTTTTTCACTTCATCTTATTTCGAACTAGGGGCAACGATGAGCACGAACCCAATATCGAAGGGACAGACAGGTTTGGCGACGTCGCTCGGAATCCTGGGATCCGAACCTCGATATAAAATACCCAAGAAACACGTGCAAACCCGCCCAACAGGCCTGACTAATGGGTCGCTCCTGTGTCGATCCAAGTTCACACTATTCAGCCTCTCTCCTATCGTGCGGTCTTTCCCGAAGACCTCGCCCTTGCGAAGGCTGGGGTGGAAAAGAAACGATGAAGGAGTGGCAAGAAAAATGGCAGCACCGCCCTTGGGATTCACGCAAAGACGAGCGAGTCGAAACCCGTGGCGTTTCGGAGCGCATGACCCCCTGTTCCGTCTGTTCTTTTGACAAGTATCAGGGGTCGTGGTGCGCCCCACTCACACAACGCTCACGGCAGAGTCAGCCGAAAGTGTAAAAATGGTTATTTTGTGCTCGGGAATGCGACGGGAGTCCGTCTGTCAGCTATCGAGTTCCTGCCTGAGAGGCCGGGGAGGTAGAGGAGCCCCTGAGCTGGAACCCTAACCCAGACGGCGGCCATATCTCTACGTACAAATCTGGCTTGCTCGAGGCACGAAACGCACGCTGCTTTATTGCAGCAAAATGGGAAGAAAACGAAAATGGGAGAAGATAGTCATGGGATGGATAGATCAGGAAAAAAAAGTCAACAAAACAAACAGCCCACCTGCTGCCAGGAAGACAGAACGCTGTTTTTGCTTGGGCCCAGCCGGGATCGAGCCGGCGACCTTCAGATACGGTGGACTGAGCTATTGGCTTCAGTCTGACGCTCTCCCAACTGAGCTATGTGCCCATTGAATGCTGAGATGCCGTTGGACTGGATCGCGCCCCATGAGCCGGATCGTGGTGAGGGCCTCCCCACACACGCGGCCGAGTCAGCCTGTCTCCGGAGGTGGTGTGTGGGCGAGAAGGGGATGAATGGACAAGGGTAGAGAAATGAGGTCCACCAAAGATGCACAGCAAAAGTATTGCAGATACGAAAGACGGGTGTGTGTGTGATAGGACCTGCCAGATGTGCTTGGTTGAAAGTTGGAGTTGCGGAAAGGCCGAGACCAGCTCGGCCGCCGCAATACATGAAAGAAGAGAAAGGTACGAAACATATGATAGAAATGGTGACATATGACGCGTGAATCGTTTACTCTTGTGTAATGTAACGCATAACCTGCTCACTCGCAGAAGGTGAAAGGTGTAGATGGAAAGGCACGGCACCGAACGCCATCCGACTGGGGAGGGGGAGCCCAGCAGCAGCACCCATCCCCCCGCCACTCAGACGCCGGGCATGCCGGCCCTGATGTTGTCGTACTGGCTGGCCGGGTACGACAGCAGGTTGTTGGAGCGGTCCATGCGGCCCATCTTGCGGGCCATGGTGCCGACGAGGCTTGCGGCGCCGACGCGGTCGCCGCTGGCCTCCCAGTAGACGGCGCCGCCGAGCCCCTTGGAGACGAGGTATGCGGCCTTCTCGCCCGCGGACCGCACCGTGTCGTACGTGACGAGCACGCGCGAGGACCCGTCGTAGCTGTAGCTGGCCTTTGCCGCGTCGTCCCACTGCTCGGACGCGCCGGGCCGCGGGAGGTCCCTGTACAGCCACACGCCGTTCTCGATGGAGCCCGGGCCGACGCCCGAGTACGACCTGCCGAGCCCGTCGGTCTGGGTGAAGGCGCGGCCGTACAGGGGGAGGCCGAGGGTGATCTTGTGGGGCTTGATGTTTTTGGCCAGGTAGTCCTTGACGGCGCGGTCGGTGCTGAACTTGGTTGCCGACGGGTTGCTCGGGTTCAGGAACAGGTTGGACTGGTGACCCGAGGTGGAGTCCCAGCTCCCGGCGTAATCGTACGCCATCAGGTTCCAAAAGTCGAGCCAAGGGTCCATGCCGGCGAGGTCCATGTTGTTGTAGTTCTGCGGGCCGGCGGGCGTCGCGACCGTCAAAAGGAAGTGGTAGCCCGGAGCGTGCTGGGCGGCGTAGGCGTCGAGGGCCTCCCGGCAGGCCTTGAGCAACAGGACGTAGTCCTGGGCCTCCTTTGCGTTCTGCGGGTACTCCCAGTCGAGGTCGAGGCCGTCGAAGCCCCAGTCGGCCAGGAGCTTGACGGCGCTGCTCGCGAAGCGCCGGCGGCCGGCGTCGGTGGAGGCGGGCAGCACGAACTTGGGCGACCAGGTCCAGCCACCGATGCTCAGGAGGACCTTGAGGTGGCGGTTGCGCTTCTTGTGGATGTAGAGCTGCTTGACGCACCCGTAGGCGTTGCGGCCCACATCGTTCCACGAGTCGGTGGCGTAGTGCTTCTCTACATCGGACCACGAGTCGGATGATTTGCTACCGTGCGGGAGAAGACGTTTGGTCAGTGCTGGGGACTGGGTGATGGCGTTGGTGCGTTGGGAATATAGGGCTGGAGATACTTACACCTCACCGTCCGATGCAATGTCGGCAAAAGAGTAGAGGATGTGGGTGACATTCTCGGCAGGAATCTGCTGGGGCTGGAAGTTGGCACCGTATATTCCCCTGAGCAATAATTTGGCAGTTAGCAAGCGTATAAGATGGCCAAGGTGGTCGTGACCCCCACGGATCGTCGGTCACCATGAGCCAACTTACCAGTTGGTAAAGTACAAGACATTCTTGTACCCTGTTTGCGTTCCAGAGCTGTCGCCCGGGGTCTGTGTTGAGAGCGTGCTGGTGCTCGAGGTACGAGAGGACGGAGTAGACGTGGAGGTCCGGGTCGGGCTGCTGCCGCCCGTGGCAAAGACCGTGACGGCGACGGTCACGGTGGCCGTGGGACCGGGGGCAGTGAAGCAAAAGACATCTCTGCCATGGAGTGCCGCGTCTGCCACGGGTGCGGCAGCCACTGACAAGGCTAGAGAAAATACAGCAGCCAGGAGCAGGCTCGCCATCTTCGCAGCTGTTTTGGTATGAGCGAGGGCAGGGTGTCCTTGACAAGGTAACGACAGTGGATGAGGTATGTAACGACAATATGACAGTGTGGCTTAAGAGAGCGTGGGGATTGAGAAAAGTCCAGTGCGCCTGGCAGCAAACTCTGTCCGGATGGGAGGGTGGTGATGGATTTGTATCCTCACGACCCAGTCCTCCTTTTCCCTCAGGGCCTCTGGCCTTTTCTACTTCTGCGCATGTCTCTCTTATGCCGTCCCGGGCTCCTCCAGCGCCAGCGAGAGGAACGTAAAGTGGACGGCGGTTCAGTTTCCCAGCCTCAAAAAAAAGAGGGGCAAGAGGTCGAGAGCTGGAATGAGACTCAGGGTCGCTGAAGAGGGGCACCCACCCGGCCAAGCCCACCTGGAAGGGCTTCTCAGGTGGCGGCTTGTTGGCCTGAGACAAGGAGGGTGGCGGCCACCGAGAGACATGCGGCGGCGGCGGGCTGGGTGCGAGACAAAGAGACATTTCTCCTCGCGTACGCCAGGTCACGACGGCCGAGGAGGCATGCCGATGGGAGCCACGTATCTGGCTCCGCCGGCGACCGGGAACCCAATATATCGCACGTTTTAGCCTATGGGAGGTCTTGGAAGTGGGACGGAATTACAAGAAGGAAAAGGGGACGAAGACGGCGTGGTCTATATCTCATTGATAGCATATAGTTACTTCAGGAATATCGACTTTGGCGTTCATATGAGATTGACGTCGAGTGGTTGGCCCTACACAAAAGCATAATCCGGGTGATCGGCAGGACCTGCCGATGGGCCAGGCTTTCTTGGTACATGCTCTGGATCTGCTCGCCTGGCACGGAAGAGGCCGATGGGAGTTGAATGCTAGCCAAGCCACCAAAGGTCGGGCGCGAAGGGAGGTTGAAAGTCTGGAGGCAGAGGCGACACGGCATGTTGGCCGAGACTCGCTCTGGATGGGCCTGCTTGAGGTCGAACATTAGCCGGCAACACGTCGAGCAGGTATGCAAGCACCCGGAATGACAGCCGCCTCAGTGCTGAGATTCCGACTCCCGAACCGCGCTGACGAATCGTCCCGCAACTTGATAGGCAAAATGATAAGTGATATGGCGGTACCAAACCACAGATCCAGGGGTTTTGCCCAGCTGCCCAAGGAGCATTTATACATGCAACGTCTCCATATACCCCCCTAATACTCGGGTTCCTGCGAACAGGGCTACAGATCACGATCCAGATTCTAGAAGCACAGTCGTTGGATGCTGCCATACGCCGCCTCGAGAGTCAGGCAGGCCATCGACAACCATTCACGTCCAGGTACCTGTCCAGATACCTGTCTGTGTGCCTATCTACTGAGTTGACCACGCTGGTATTACAAAATAAGAACATCTATCGCTTGAACAGATCCTTTCCTCCCAAACTATACGAGCTATCACACAAGCCGCCCGAGAGAGTGCGAGTTATTGCCGAAAAGAAGACGGGTATCGATTGGCAAGCGCAGACAGGAGGAGATATGTGCAAGCAAAATAGCAAATGCAGCGCCGGCGGTCGTGTTGCCGCCCTGCTGCCGCCCCCATCTAAATCACAGTCTTTTCGAGCTTCTTGGCTAGGTCGTCGACTTGCTTGTCCTTGACCGGGATAACGGGCTGCTCTAGCGCCTCTTCCTCGTCCTTGACCAGCTTCTCGGCAAGTACCTCCTTCTCGATCTCATCCTCCTCCTCCTCATCCTCGTCCTCGTCCTCAGACTCCTCCTCAAGGTCGCTCAGGCTGTCCAGACCCCAGTCGTCCTCCATCACCACGTCGCCCGCGAGCTCCTCCTTCCGCTTCTCCAGAAGCGAGGTCATGGCCGCGATGACATCGTCCCCTTCTGACAGTCGGTTGCCGTTGATCTCCAGCTTGCGAAGCACCGGCAGCGCGTCCTTGACCGCATCGGCCAAAGCCTGCACGCCCTTGGAGTTTATCTCGTTAAACTGCAGCCGCAGAACCTCGAGTTTGGCATTCTTTCCCTTGGACAGCGCCTTGGCCAGTGCCTTCGCACCCTTGTTGCTGAGAAGCGAATCGTTTATGCCCAGCTCCACGACCTCGGTCCAGTTCGGCGCCACCTTGGCCAGTGCTGTTGCCCCCGTCAACGTGAACGTGTTGTCCTGCAGGTCCAGTACCCGGATGTCGGACAGGTGGCTGAGTCCGTCCGTGATCAGATGCACGATGCCCTCCTGACGGATACCATTCTGCACCATCTTGATCTCCCGCAGACGGTTGTGAAGACTGAAAGTCTTGGCCCAGGCTCGCATACTGCCGTTCTCCAGCCGGTTGCGCCCGCAGATAACCGTCTCGAGATTCGGCACGTCGGCCTGACCCGCCTTGCGCGCGGCCTCCTTCTTAGCATGCAGCTCCGAGAGCGCGCCGGCGATCTTCATGCCAGCCTCGGGGCCCAGGCCGTTGTTGTTGAGATACAGGTGCTGCAGCGGCACATGCGACGAGAGGAAGGCGGCGACGGGCGCATACGTGTTGATGCCGAAGGCGTTGTCATTGAGGTTGATCGTCCTCAGGTTGGGCAGGTTCGTGATCTGGGTCAGGAGGTGTGAAAGCGCCTCGGGGATCTCGTTGAGGAGGCGGCCAGTGAAGATGTCGGCGAAGTTGGCATTCTAAAATGAAGGGGCAAAACGGTAAATAAGTCAGCAAAAGGGGGCTATAGGCCGGGCAGCACCAGCGCATCGCAGACTTGGGGTCTCGAGCTTACCTGAAGGCTCTTCTTGGTGGACAGGACCTCGCCCAGACGCTTGCAGGCGCCGATACCCAGAGTGTTGCCCAAGAACCTGACCTCCTCGACATCATTCATAGAGATGAGGGCGGCAATGTGGGCGTTGAGGTCCTCAGCCGTGTCCAGCTTCAGGGCCTTTCCCTCAAGGGAGAACACCTTGGTTGAGGTCGCCATGCTGGGCCGGGTGCAATAAGTGTCCGTAGTCGAAGCAATATTTTGAGCAGTCTGCTTAGGGCTCGTGGTACACGATGCGGCGGAGGATTGGAGAGCAAGCTGGGCCAAAGATCGAAAAGTATATTTTTTTGGGGAGAAAGTGCAGACCTCCAACCAAAACACAGGTCGTGCATGTGGTTGCAGGTGCTGGTGTGACGGGAGGGGTCGATCAATCATTCCCGCGCTGCCTGCCTGCCACTGCCCCTGCCACCCACCCTGCCTGCCCACTCCCGCATTCTAGACCCCACCAACGCCGGTATGGATTAGGTCAGCCACGCGACCGAACCATCCGGAAAATAGTCTGGACCGCAAATTTTTTCCCCCACCCAAACTCTACCTTTCCCAATACAATTGCACTAGCACCAAAGCCAAACAACATGCCCGCGCAGCACTCTACACC